GATAGTCTAGTATGGACAGGAGTCGTCAACAAGCACAGCGCAATATGGTCAATGGCTCGTGGGTCCGCCTATGGGAGCATGGCCTGGGTATTTCCCGGTAGGGTCATGGCCTACGCAGGGTTCATATCCCATGTTACCCAGAATTAGAATTTTGGAGGAGACCAAAACACGGGACAACTTCAACTAACAGGGCAGAGCGAAGCAGGATCTAGTCGCAAAGGTGGCCAAAACCAGAACAGGTTCCAAGGACAAGGACAAGGACGTGGAAGAGGTAGGAATGGTGGTAGAAATCAGGGACCAGGGGAACGAGGAGCAGATAACAGAGGAGGTGGGGGCAGCCCCAAGGGGGTGCAAATCCAGTCGGGTAGGAATACCAACAAGGGTATGGTCGTGGATACGACCAAAGCTATGGAAGGGGGTATGGTAGAGGAAACGGACAATGAAACAGACAAGGATATGGCAGGGGGTGGATTGATTACAGTGAATGCGTCTGTACCTACTGCACGATGAAAGGGCATACGGTAAAACGATGTTATGTTAGGAAGTTTGACGAGCGTGAAGGACTCGTAACATCAAACATGGAAGGCGAGGTGTTTGACCAAAATGGTAGGGTGATTGATCCTGAGATTCCAGGGGGCACAAGGGAAGAGGCTCTTCGTGTGGCCACGCTTGGTCCCAACGCAACAGGGATGTTCCGAATTTGGCAGGAAAGGGAAGAACCAGTAGTGCAGGTGGAAGACATAACTAACTTGGAAGAGAAAGTGAGTAGTATGGGGATTAGAGAAGAAAAAGGAAACGTGCCGCTTGTAGAAGAAGAAACGGAGGAGGAAGACGTTAGGACTAACATTAGAGATACGTTCGATAGGATGGAAGACTTTGTAGACAAAATGCAAAGGCTACATCTGAGGCTTCAAGGGATATGTGAAAAAGCAGGAAGAGAAGGGGCTGGATGCCCAAAAGTATTTACCATGGGGCGCGGGGGATCGGGAGATGGGCCAAATGAACCCAACCCGAGAATGTTGAGAGCCAATATGGCCGCAAGGAACAGTGGAAGTCAGAGAAGTATAAGAGGAACGATTTCATTCGCTACAAGAAGACCCGCAGGAGGGAATCCTCAAAAGGAACAAGCTCAGGCTTCCTAACCAGCGGAAGAAGAACCACCTATCACGGTAGAGGGTGATGAAGATGAGGATGAGAAGATTAGGGAGGAAGAAGAAAGGCAGGCTGAGATAAGGGCTAAGAGAAGGAAAAACGAAGCTAAGGAAGGAAGATCAAAAGGAGATACAGGACCAAGCAAGAAGAGAAAGTATCAAACCTCGATCGAAGAAGGGGTGGATCTGGAAGGCTTGGTGAATGAACTGCTGGAGGGGCACAATGAGCTGCTAAATCTGAAAGAAATCCTAGCTTCGGCTCCTACGTTAAGAGAAATGGTGAAAGCAAGGCTATCACGACGGAGAGTGGCCTCACTCCGAACGGGGGATTTAATTCCCAAAGAGGCCAACTGGAGCGTGGCGGGGAGCAAAATGGATTGAAAATTCGTAGGAATAGGGTCCATTGATGTTATGATAAAGGGAAAGATGTGTCCAAGGATGGTTAACACCGGGGCAGAAATGAATATTATAAACGGAGAAACCGCGGTAAAGCTCGGGTTCGAGGTGGATAAGAATGATTGCGGATTCCTCAACGGAGTCAGCGGCAAGACCGGGTACACGGGAGTTGCATCGAATGTGGTCATAGAAATAGGAAGAGTCAAGGTATGTACGTGCTTCTACGTCATGCCCAGCTTGGACCTTCCAATATTGCTGGGAAGGTCGTTCCTGTGTAGATCTGAATTGCTCATTATGAACAAGCATGACGACACTATGTTCGTCATCTTGTGCGATCCTGCCTATGGGAACTTCGAGGTTATCATCTCTAGGAACACAGGCCCACACAGCTCGAAAAACAGTCTCAATGCCGGATCCTACACGTTCCAGGAATCTGAGAGTAGGAGGAGAGAACTGGAATGGGAAGAAGAAGAAGAGGAGTCAGATGATGAAGAAGCCAAATGACTTGTGTTAAGTCTAACAAATATCAGTGACGCAGTAGAACTGGTATCGGCCTATAGGATGGCTGACGCGGATGCCATTAGGGCACTCGCTGAAAGAATCCAGGACAATCCGAAAGGAGGAAGGGTTGATTTTGTCTACCGACCACCTCCTTCTTCTCAGATAATAGTGCCGCATGCGCCGAATGCTCAAGCTGCAGGTCAGCATTTTTTAGGGATGGGCTCAAGCAGGGCTCCAAAAGGAGGTACAAGACGGTAGATAAAAAGAGTCACCCTGTGCCAGTTCTAGTGAGTCAGGAAGAAGGGGTGTATTATGATCAGGAAAGAGAACTGATACAGCGAATGAGGGAAGGTATCCAGCACGGGCCTTGTCGTATCAACGATGAGACTGAGAAAGAACTGATAATAGGGGAACCTGGTTTTCTGACAAGGCAAGAGGAGGAATTGGTGAAGGAGCTGATACGTGAAAAACATGGGGCATATGCCTTCAACGATGATCAACGTGGGAGGCTGGATGTGGAAAAGATCGAAATGATCCGCATTCATACTGTACCCCACGAGCCATGGAATGTCCGAGGGGCTAAGTACCCCAACCCCGAGGATTGCAGAAGGGTGGTAGAGTACCTAGATGGGAAAATCCATATGGATGTTGCAGGGTATTCCAGTGGACCGTACGCGTCTCCATGGTTCTGCTTTGTAAAACCAAATGGAGTTCTCAGATGGGTGTAAGACCTCCAACGACTGAACGCGGTAATTGTAAGGGATGCAGGAGGTTTGCCCAACGCTGACCAGTTATCAGAAGCTTGTGCAGGAAGGTCGATTGTGTCCCTCATCAACCTCTACTCTGGATACGATCAGTTTTCAGTCTATCCGACAGACCGTCCCATCACGGCGATGCACACGCCAAGGGGATTGGTCTATATGAATGTTGCGCCGCAAGGATGGACCAATGTTGTGGTCATGGTGCAACGGAGTATGATCAGGGTTATGCAACCAATCAGTCCTCAGATCACCGAGCCGTACATAGATGATCTTGCAGTTAAGGGTCCGATTGAGAAGGATGAGTCAGAGGTGGCTCCAGGGGTGAGAAGGTTTGTATGGGAACATGTTCAAGGGTTAAGAGAAGTTTTATCTCTACTAGAAGAGTACAACCTCACCGCCAGTGGAGTGAAGTCGAGACATTGCGTAAAGGAGGTAACCATTCTATGATACATTTGCAACGAGCATGGTCGGCGCCCTGATAAGAAGAAGACCAATAAAATTCTGGAATGACCCACTCCTTTCAGAAATTTGGGTGAAGTTTGAAGCTTCCTTGGTACCGTGGGTTCTGGAGAAGATTCATAGAAAGGTTTGCTAGTAAAACTGAGCATCTAAGGAAGCTAGTCCGGAAGGATCAGGAATGAGAATGAGGAAACCATCAAGAGGAAGTGGTGGAACAATTGAAGAAGGAGTTCAGAGAGAGAGGTCTGGTACTAGGGGTACCGGACTTTGATGCGACTATGGAAAAGCCCTTCATAGTTGAAACTGACGCTGGACCAACCGCCCTAGGAGGCGTCCTGATCCAGGCAGACAGTGAAGGAAAGGAGAGGCCGCTGAGGTTTGAAAGACGAACACTCAACTCAACAGAAAGGAACTACTCGCAGTTCAAAAGAGAAGCCTTGACGGTCCTGCATTGCCTAAGGATCTTTAGGCATTACCTCTTTGGGAGGAGGTTTGTACTCAGGATCGATCCTACGGCACTTGTGTACTCGCTCAAGAATTTCTCGCCCTCAGATCCAACCATAGCCAGATGGCTCACCTATATCTGGATGTTCGACTTCCAGTTAGAATGGATTCCTGGGAACAAAAACAGGGCGGATGGCATGAGCAGAATTGAGTGGGGAAATCAGGAAGAATCCAATGAAAAAACGTCTCCAGTAGACGGGTTTTTGAACGAAGGGGAAGACATGCGAACTCACGTGAATTGTTGGTTCATGTTCGTCGAGAGTAAGAAAATGAGGAGAGGGAATCCAATGTGGCATCCGCCTCCCGAATTTATGAGAGAACCTTCCCTGATACTCACACCATTAGAGGAGGAGGACTCTTGGGGCGAGAGAAATAAGGAATGGATGATGGAGTTGGCTCTGGCAGAGAATTATAGGGTAATGGATGAGCCACGAACGATCGAAGCAGGAGTCCAACAGACTAACGAACAGGTAGCCATGATGGGAAGAATATACTACCTGACAAATTCGCTGTTACAAGTCCAAGCGAATGATGAAAGAGGAATAATGAAGGCCGACGAGATAGTTATTGGAGATGATTACGAGTTCGATGAAGAGAAGGAAGGAGAGTTCGAACAAGAGGAGATTTCAGAGGAATTCAGGGAAGAGGAGTATGAAGGATTCTATTTAGAAATAGGGTTGCTCCTCTCAGGAGATAAAAGAGAGAGAGAAGTGAGTGAAAAGACTCTCAGGATGAGAGACCACTATGTGGTAAGAGGTCACCACTTATTCATCAGAGATAAGAGGGGGCCGTCGCGACTTGTCGTATATGGGAGGAATCGCCAGATTGACGTAGTAGCCGCCTTGCATGATGGGATAGATGGAGGACATCGGAGTTTCGCGGCTACCTACAAAAAGGCGATGGAGCTCTACTACTGGGAAGAGATGTTTGAGATGAAGCGAAAATACTGCGAATCGTGTGTGCCCTGTCAAATCCGATCGCCTATCAGGTACAAGGAACCTCTGCATCCTAGGTATATCAAGGAAGTAGGGGCGGTTCTTCACCTGGATCTACTGGCTATGCCACTAGTTCTTGGAGGCTATAACTATATATTTGACCCAAGGGACAACCTTACTGGATTCGTTGATGGCAGAGCAATCAGGATTAAGACCAGGACAACGCTGACAGACTGTATTAAAGAATATTATCTCCGGTATCCGTTCGTGTTGGAGTTTACGATGGACAGGGGGTCTGAGTTCACGTGTGGGGAAGTGAAGGAGCTGCTCAAGGAATTGGGGGTCACAGGTAATTATACGACTCGGGCACATCGACAAGCGAATGCACTAGTTGAGAGAGGTCATAGCACTATTACTAACTTATTGGCCAAATGGACCAGTGGGAAGCCGAACCTCTGGCCAAAGTTCCTAAGAACAGTATTCTTTGTGGAGAACATCACCGTAAAAAGGACGACCAGGTATGCACCTGCGACACTCTGGTATGGGCGTCACCCCACATTTCCTATTGAAAGCTTCCTGAAAACTTGGCGCAGGCAGAACCTGGAGAACAACTTGACTTTGAAGGAACTGTTAGACCTAAGGGCAAGGCAGATCAGCGCCACTGAAGAAAGGGTGCGAGAAGCGGCCATGAACGTTGTAGACAGCAGAGGGAAGGATAAGGAAAGGTGGGACAAACTACCTAGAGTAAGACTCGAGCTTCTACAAGTTGGCGAGACAGTACTACTCTACGATTCCTCTCTGGAAATGCAGTGGTCGTGGGAATTGGACAAACGGTGGCTAGGACCATTCAAGGTCAGGAAACAGGAATTTCACGGGGCATATGAGCTAGAAGAAATGGATGGGACTCCAAGGAAAGATTGGGTCTCAGGATCTAGACTGAAGAAGTTCCGAGTCAGAGAAGAGGTAAGCTCAACTACAATACAGAAAGCTTGGATAAATTAGGAAGGTGTTTAGGCATGCATATGTGTATCAATTTCTATGCAGGTATGTACCCAATTGCCCAAGATTATGCTCATACATATATGGATGCATACATGCATATATATATATATATATATATATATATATATATATATATATATGTGTATGTGTACATACATGGATGCAAAGGGGTATAAGTGGGGATAAGTGTGTATACGCTAATGTATGTATATATGTATATATATATATGCATGTGTGTATATATATATATATGTGCGTGTATGTAGGTGCTTGATAGAGGAAGGCATTGTCAAACTTGTGTTTAACAAGAAATGTTGCCTTAATGATGATCTGACCCTTGTACCTGTCATTTGCTCTTTCTCTATGTGCAGGCGTGACCCTTGGAAAGGAGAGGCCATGGCGTAGAGAGGAGCGATGGCAGGGCCCTCTGGACCTACCTTGAGAAAGGGCGGCCAGAGGAGAGATCAGAAAATCTCAAGGAGCATGGAGGTGTTGCCCGTTTACGGGGCTGGGGATAACCTGCGAGTGTTCTTACGAGATTTTGAGGAGTACGGGTTCAGAAGAGAGTGGGGAGACAAGGAAAAACTCGCAAACGTGACTGGAACAGGAGTATACAAGAGAAAGATTGAAGGAGCGGCAGCAGGATGTGCAAGGTGGAGGGCTTGCAAGGTGAGGTTGTGGAAGGAAATGGGGACCTACCCAAGGGATGATGTTGAGGACGACTTGAAATTTGATGGAACAAATCTGGAGGACTTCATCGACAGTTTGCAGTTGGCCGCAGAGAAGGGGGAGTGGAGTGAAGAAGAGAAAAAGAAGCAGTTGATTGCAAGAACAGAAAGAAGTTAGAAGGAGGAAGTAAGAGGGATCGTGGAAGGAAGTCGAACCTGGAAGAGGATAGCAGCAGAATTGGGGATTGCATACACCCAGGCGAGACAGGATCAGACAAGGAAGGAAAGATTGCAGGAAAAGGGGTTGTGGATTGGAAGGGAGATGAATGAGCTGCAGGGAAAGGAGGCTGAGGATGAAGAAGAGGATGATGTGCCTCTGAGAAGACTGAAGAACAAGGCGAGGGTCGCCCCCAAGAGCAACAACAGGGGATCTGACCAGGCAGAAGGAGATGAACGGGAAGAGGAGGTGGAAGCAGGAAGAAGGAAAGAGAGCAAGGGGGCAAATGTGGCACTAAGGGAGAAAAGCACTGGACCAGTCGAAATTGGAAGGAAAGGGGTACAGGAGAAAGGGACTGAGGAGGAAGGAGGAGCAAAAGGAATGGGAGAAGGGAAGAAGATCCAGGAAAGAGGCAAGCTCCAAGAGTTGAGAGGACTGATGGAAAAGGGTCGATTGGAGACAGAGAGGTGAAGGAAGGAGAGAAGGGTGAAAAGGAGGGGAAGTTGAGAAGGGTCAAGGAAGTGGAAGTTGAAGTGGGAAAGAAAATGGTAGAGTATGGAGAGTCGTCCCAGTTGAGAGAAGAGGTGGAGGAAGGGCAGGTAAGTAAGGAGGAAAAGGCTCAAAAGTGTAGGAAGAGGAAAGGATGGAGGGATTATGTGATCAGGATGCTGCAGTATGACGACCTGCCTGTGAACTCTGCATGGGATGTCAGATTTGAGAGGATGCTCCTCTCAGAGCTGGTGGTGAGTTCAAGTCACTCAGATAACTTGCAAAAGATGATGGATCTGCACAAATTGTTGGATGAGAAATGCACCAGACTCTTTGAAGATTATGCTGAGATTGCCAGGAAGATGGGGAAGATGGAAGGAGAAGGTGGAGCAAAAGAAGTTGGGGAAGACCTAGACACAGTAGGAAAGGGACTCCAGGCAAAACTCAAGGGCAGCAATGAACTCTTCACTCAAGGGTTCTTGGATTACATCCCTGGACTCTTGAAGGAGATGAGCAGGTTAAGAAAGAAGGAAGAAGAGAGGGATGCTCAGGTGACGCAGTTGGTAGGAGAAGTGGAAGGAATGAAGAAGGAAGTGGAGGAGCTGAAGAAGGGAAGGGAAGAATTGGAGAAACAAGTGAGCACTTTGAAGGCCTCCCTGACCATGAAAGGAAAAGAGTTGGAGAATGAAATAGCTGAGAGGGGAAGGGTGGAGAAAAAGGTGGAAGGTATATGCTCTGAAGTCAGCATGCAAGGGCAGGACCTGGACAATGAGATCTCTGAGAGAGAGAAGTTGGGACAAGATTGGGAGAAAAGGTGGGTGAAATATTGAAGGGAATGGAAGAGCTCAAATTAAGCGATCAGGAGAAGAAAGGTGAAACCACGAAAGTGGTGGAAAGGCAGGGGGAGAAGGGACTTGAGGTCAGACTGGCAGAAGGAGAAGAGAGAGCCCCTCTGTCTCAGGAAGGAAGAGGGAAGTTGGACGAGCTGACTGAGGCTAGAGGAGAAGGACCATCCAGCAGAGAGCCACAAGGAGGACCCATAGTTGATGTACCTTCAGCCCCGAAGGAAGACAAAGATGAGAGACTGAATGAGCCTCAACAGAAGGGGATAAAAAGGAGTGAGCAGCCTGGCTTGGAGGCATCTGAAGGAGCAGAAAGTCAGGCAGAAACCTCGAGTAGACCACTGGCCAAAAGAGCCAGACATAACAAGGACCAACAAGGATGTTTCTTCTGTATGGAAAAGGGTCATTTCAGGGATAGTTGTACTGTATTGGCTGAGTATATTAGGAGAGGGATGGTCAGGCTTGACTTAAGAGGAAGGCTGGTAGCCCGGAATGGACAGGTGATCCCTAGGACACATGAAGGTGGCAGAGTGACACTGCATAGGATGCTGGGGTTGGCAATTGACTTTTGAGGATAGAAGGTATCAGAGATATGAACTGAGAAAGAATGGATGTATGAGTAAGTAGGAGAGGTTATGACCTAGTAGGACGGGGTGCATGAACATTTAAAGGGGAAATAGATGAGGATGAGTGGGTGAGTCACAAATGACACTTGTATCATGCTTGTATTTTATACTTATATGTATGAGATCAGGGGCAGATGAGCTGGTGACCTCAAAACGCTTCACATTGTGTGCATCCCCGTGTCTATGATTGTCAAGTCTCTTCTATGAGTGAGTACCTCCCTTCGTCTATCACTGTTTGAAGATCCTCTGAGGTCTGGAAAAGTGGTAAAGGGACGGGTAGGTCGGTGAATGTATGAAAGATGGCAGAAGATTGAGTGATCTAATGCCAGATTGATCTATGTGCATAATTTGGAAATGTCATGCTATGGTATGAGCAAATACCTCTCATGAGGTAAAACATTGTGTTTTACGAAATGGGTTTGAGTGGATAATTGTTTTGTTGGTTTCAGACAAGCAAAGAGTCAATAAAAGTTTATCTTAAAAATAATGGTTATATATATAAAAATAATGGTTTCACATATATACATCTATATATATATATATATATATATATATATATATATATATGTATACAAAATGACCCCGAGGTGCGTGCCTCACCGAGCTTATGATCAAAGACTTGGAAGGCGCAACCCTGAGTGGCAGTCTGACGAATGCTCGATTTATTAAAAATTCTCATTTATTTGGTTTATTTTAAAGGCATCGTTCATCCACCTCAAGGGTTAACCTGAGGGCATAAAATTACCAAGCCTATGGTGGAAAATTGGCATCGTTGGGACGTAACTCCCAGCGTAGGCTGCTGACCTAGCATAACCAGACAGCCGACCCTTCGACTATGGCATCGAAGAGATACTAGAGGGGTGACCACCCCAATGAAAGGATCTATTCAGGTGGATGTCGAAGGGGTCGAGATTAGTAAATTTTAAAGATAGGATGACTGACCCATCGTTGCGCAACCAACGAGGGTAACCACCGATAAGCAACAACGCGGTGGGCCGCAGCTCCGGCCTGATCAGCAGGACTGTGGTGGGTCAAGATGAAGACCGTTGTCCTCCTATATTAGGCTTCGGACAGGACAACAGGCAACTTTGGACAAGCAATGTCAAAGAGTTGAACAACCGAGGTCTCGGTTAAGACCCGTGTTTGACGGGATGAGTTCGTACTCGAACACCAGCCCCGAAAACAACCAACAAATACCTGGATCCAAAGTCTAAGGGTGTGGGGAGAGAAAAGGTGCGTTGTCATACTTAACTATTTCATATACTGTAGTATAGATCTAGTATCCCCACTTCAAGTCAGTCATGTTATAATGTGGGAGACCCGGGTTAAAATCCCGGCAGTAGTAATGAAAAGTGAGGTGACAACGTCAATCCTAATCCACATCTCACCCCAGGGTTCGGATTTGACGAATTTGCTTGTCGAAATCCTTCTGTTTGTTTGCATATAGTTCTCCGAGCGACGGGGACGTCGCTTAATAAGGTCTGGGATACTGTCGGACAAAATACCCTTACAAGGGTATTTTGCCATGTCTATGCATTCGACACGGTGGCCGCGTCGGCTACCATGACGTAGCCAGTCTGGAATAAAAAGGGTGTGCACGCTTGGCGTGACATTGGAAGTGAGTTCCTCGGCCACTGAGGTCGGGGCAAAAATCGGTGAGAAAATTTCGTTAAGAGAGTGCGCGCATTATTATAACGCGCGCCGTGGTAATTAGGATCAGTAGTAATACTCCTTGACAGAAAAGGTCGAGGGGTCAGTTGGGTTAATGGTGTGTTAGGAAGATCTGCGACAAGCACTGATTCTTAGTCTAGTACCTGTCTGTCTTCAGGTACCAGGTATTCTAAAAATTTTCGGCTTTTGTTTCCCCCAACTCGGCCTCCGAGTTGAGTAACCGCCGCAATCTACCTCATTGAGGTGTGACACCGACCTACTTACTACTTGAATATTGTCCGTCCCGCTCAAGGTATAGCGGATCTCTTTCCCGCCACTTGGGTTTTCTTGTCGCGACCCTCGAATGTCGCAGCCATAGCCAAGCACCGGTCTGCCCGCCGCTAGAATGTTTCCCCGCCGCGACCCTCGAGTGTCGCGGTCATAGCAAGGAACCGGCCTACCTGCCGTTAAAATGTGTCTCCGCCGCGACCGCCAAATGGCGCGGCCACGGCTAAGTACCGGGCCTACGGGCCTTCTGGGTAACTAAGTGCCCTTGCGGGTCACACACACGCCCAAGCCGACAGGCATGCAGTCTGGCATGCGTAAGCACACACAAACCAACAAGCATTCAGGTTGGCATACAGACCGGTGAAACTACACACTCCCTCATATACTCAAGAAAGGGTTCAGACCACTGGCAAGATTGAGCCACTACTATTTACATACTGAGTTGCTCCCCTTCTATTCGAAGTGGTAGCTAGCTTAGTAGGTTTAGGGGTTGTCAACTAACCAGAGGATACAGGGATCGAAACCTACTTACCGCTGAGACTGGCTCCCTTTTTGACAAGGACTCCGACTCAATTTTTTACCAAGTCGCGGTCGGTCGGGACTTGAACCTGCGACCTCACGTACAAAAGTTAGTAAGGTTAGAACGTTGGTTGGAACCAAGTGTCGTACACTTGGTAAGGTAAGGGGAACTGTAGGCTGATTTTCGTTAGATTTTATTAGTTCGGTTCCTTTATTTTAATTTTATTATTCTTATTTTCCTTGTTTTACGCTTGTTACCTTTTTCTCAACGGCCTATCTGCCCGAGGGTGCTCAAATGAACCCCGCCCTATACTAGGGCAAGATTCATCGGACAAGTAGCCGACTGATCTGGCCAGGTCGGGTTTTCACTGAGGGCCGACAACTACGAGATCAAGAAAAGAGGGATACTATCTGAGGAAAAAGGAAGGAGGCGAGAGCACGGGCAGCAGCGAGCACTAGCGCGCAAGCAGCATGCAAACGCGAATACTAGTGCGAGAGGAAAGAGGGGCACCAAGCGGGAAGACGAGCACGATTGCGATCAGAGGGGGCGCTAGCGTTCGCAGACACAACGAGCGAGTCGTAAGTCGCCCGCTTGCTCTAGGCAAACGAGGAGCGGATAGCGATGGAAGGCAAAGGAAGGAAGGAGACAAGAGGAGAAAGAGAGAGAGAAGAAAGAAGGGAGGYGGAAAAAGGAGAAGAATTCGAGGGGTGAAAGCTTGACGGACCGGGCGGACGACGACGACAAGCGACGACTCGGACGACGGCAAGAAGGAAGGAGGTAGGCCTACAACCATGCGGCTTACCTCGGAGAATAAATAAATAAATAGAATAAATGAACAAATAAAATAATAGGAAAACGAATGAATCTACCAATAAAGCATGAGTATATACACGCACTACGTATGGGCGAGTGTGTGTGTGTGCATGTGAGAGAGACAGAGAGAAAGARAGTTCTTTTTTTCCTCTTCTAAGCCCACCATCTCTCCTTCACCCTCTCCTATCTTTCCCGCTTCTTCTACTAACCTTCTTCGTCCGTTGTATGGCAAGGGTCGACGCCTCATCGCGTACGAACGCCAGGCCCTTCTTCCGTAGGGGACAATGACGTTGTATGACGAAGCTACATTGCAATCTTGACTGTGCGGATCAATGGTATCTAAGTCGCCCATGCTACCTGGTACTTGCATGCAAGATCGGTTCCTGTTCTGGTCTGCACCTTACCGCATGCAACACGCACACGCATAGTGAAAGAAGGGGAGATTGAGAAGGAGGGAAAAGATGGAGGAGGAGGATGGAGGGAGAAAGGAGAGAAGGTTAGCATCTCCCTCTCATCCTCTCGCTACCTGACTACAATGCGTCCGCAAACTATGAGAGAGTTGTGACTCAGGACTTGACGACTAGGATCCGGACTCGACATTGGGATTCAGACGTTGCAAGGGGGATATTAGGGGCTTATAACGGGACTTGGTATTGACGACATACCCTTCTTTCCCCTTTCTCATCTAACTCCTCCTCTTGGACTGTACATGGCAGAGACTGACACATTCGTTCTGTACGAGCATGATAAGGGTACGGTGGGGCTACATTGCGGTATTGACTGTTCGGATCATTGGTATCTAAGTAGTCTGCTGCACTATCTTGGGCTTTACATGAAGATCAACATTAGCGAAAAGGCAACAGGGTGTGTAGGTGCGCATGAAAGAAAGAGAGGAAGGAGGGAGTAGAGAGAAAGGGGGAGTGAGAAAAGAGATGAGGGAAAGAGTGAGAGAAAGATGAGAGAAAGCGTGAGAAAGGAGAGAGAATCGCCATCGCTCTGTGTGGCTATCGAGAGGGGGAGAGAAAAGAGGGAGTAACAGAGAGCACGAGTGTTGACTGGGCGTGATCAACGGACCAAGTGTCATCGCTCGGTTGTGTGTGTGTGTGTGTGTGTAAGT